ATATATACCTCTGGACAATTGACACAATGTCTATGTCTGTACTGTCTCTAAGCTCTCACAAGATAGTCCCAGTTTATTTTGGTAAAAATCTATTTATATCATGCATATGCAAGTCAAACATCTAACTGTATTAACATAGTAAAAGTTGGCATTAAAGCAAGAAATTTGCCATAATTTAGATATTATATATTGTTGTACCGATGGGGGTGGCACATTCTCCGGAATATACCCTCAATTTTTAATAGAATAATAGAAAAAACATCTAACTAAACTATGATATTCAAAACTGGTACGAACAACCGTCCCCAAATATGACAGATCGGGTGACACTATAATTTCACTGCGATATCTCGCTCTCGCTAAAAAGCAGACGAAGCCGCGGATGAAAGCTAGTAGATTCCAAATAAAAACTATTCCACTCTGCCCTGCGAGCTCGTGTTTACATAAATTTTGTTGTAACAAAGTGTACAACATTATTTTTATAAAGCATTCTTAGTTTAATTACGGGCATATCTGGTGAAATATGCGAGCCGGGTAGGGTTGTTCCGGGTCGCCGGAATGTGGGGCCAACGTACGAAAAAGTTAATTTCGACCCTCTACCTGCGTTCTCTTTATTTGTTTTGACTTAACAACCTCGGGTATACTTTCAGTAGACTGCGTGATTTCATGAAAGGACACTCACGGAACGATAGTGAACTATTCACATTTGGCTTTCTAAATTGAACAAATGAAATGCGTATTTAGTATTTGTAAAGTTTGCGGTACTATTTGAAATTAGTATCGTTTATAGACCATGCAATAACCTTTTGTGAGTATAGATGGATGTTTGTTACTCTTTCACGCAAAAACTACTAAATGAATTGATATGAAACTTTACAATAATATAGCTTATGCATTAGAATGACACAAAAAAAGAAAGTAGGGATGTGACATTAGGACAGAGTGTGACATTAGGAGTCTTCCTAATGTCACACTTTGTCCCACTGTCACATCCAAGAGTGACGTATTTATGGGTGGCCCCTTATTACTCACTAAACGATTACTTGAATGACGAGTGTGCATGGCAATAGTTGTTCAAATTATAATGTAAAAATATATAAAAATACATAGCTATAAATGTGCATTACAAAAATAAATGTTTTAGAATTTTGAGTTTTTCAATTTCTATATATAAACGAGAGGGAAAAAATAAAATTAAAGCATTGACGTTCATTAAAATGTGCTACATGAATAAATGATTTAATAAAATTAAAAGTATTACGTTTTTAACACTATGTAATGTTATGTTATCTGTGGTAATACTTACTTATAATAATATCCTTGGAAAATTCCACAGCGCCATCTAGTCCCAAGCTAAGCGGAACTTGTGTTATGTGGACTATACAACTGATAAAAATACTTAAATAAATACATACATAATATATATATCTATATATAGAAAACATCCAGACCGATACAAACAGACATCATCTATACTTATAATAAATCTGTAGAGAGGTCAATTCTGTACATGGAATATATTTCCAAAATAACTATCAGGGGGTAATTAGTGATCGATACTGATGCCAAAAAGGCAATCAGTAATTTTTTTGTCTGTCTGTCTAAAACAAAAACTACTCGACGGATTTTAACGAAATTTCATCACGCTACGATCAATAGCAGGAGCAGAGCAGTAAGGGAAATGTTAGGAAAACACTTCAAAACATTGAACCGAGAGGAAGGACATTATAAGTACTCCACTTATTTTACGAAAAACGAAAAACTACTCGACGCTAGTCATTAATATAAACGAGGAATTGCGACCACTAGATCACAGAGGCCGTAGACATAATAGCTAAGGAGAACTCAGAGTATTCAGATACAAAACACTTTGTCGACCCCCAATGTCACACTTTGTCCCACTCTAAAGTGTGACGTATTTCAAAACTTATTGATTGAGATGAAATAAAAGCATTCAGTTTTGGAACGCCGCACTTTATAAGTATTATAAGTATTACGTAACACTATGTAATGTTATGTTATCTGTGGTAATACTTACTTATAATAATATCCTTGGAAAATTCCACAGCGCCATCTAGTCCCAATACGGAACTTGTGTTATGTGTACTAGACAACTGATAAAAATATTAAATAAATACATACATGATATATATTGACCGATACAAACAGACATAATCATGAATATAAATATTTATGCGAGGAATCAAACCTGCGACCACTAGATCACAGAGGCCGTCGACATATGGCTCCTAATTGTCTGAGAACTCAGATGTATTCAGATACAAAACACTTTGCCGACCCCCAATGTCACACTTTGTCCCACTCTAAAGTGTGACGTATTTAAGGGTGGTCCCTTATTGATTGAGATTTGTGCCGTGCGAGGAATCAAACCTGCGACCACTAGATCACAGAGGCCGTCGACATATGGCTCATAATTGTCTGAGAACTCAGATGTATTCAGATACAAAACACTTTGTCGACCCCCAATGTCACACTTTGTCCCACTCTAAAGTGTGACGTATTTACGGGTGGTCGATCGAGATGAAATAAAAGCATTCAGTTTTATTTAAACGCTCCATTACGGATAGATATTAGAGATTCGAGGCACGTGCCGCGTCCGCGTCGCTCCCTCGGGATATTTCTCCGTGTATTTGTTTATGTAAATGTCTATAGGTATTACGTATGTACCTCTTTTTTATGTAATTGATGTAGCAGACAGTCTGACGTTACAGCTATGTTTAATAAATAATAATAATATGCGTCGAAAATTAGGAAATTCCACTGCGTTATCTAATCCCAAGCTAGTACTTGTGTTATGAGTTCTAGACAACTGATATAAATACATACAAAATATATATATATAACACCTAAACCGATACAAACAGTCATACTCATGAATATAAATATTTGTGCTGTGCGAGGAATCAAACCTGCGTCTACCTGCTGTGTATAGGTATTTTTTATGTCATTGATGTAGCAGACAGTTTGACGTTTCATCTAAGGAAAATGGGTGACATCGTTAATAAATACAAATAATATTCCAGGACAATACTTATTTTTAAACTTTTGCTGTTAGTACACATTGTTAATGTAGTTAAATGAATTTTAACCTGTTTAAAACTGGATTAATAGTTCCTGAACAATTCCACAGATGCTATCTAGTCCCAAGCTACGAAAGGATCTTTGTTAAGTACCCATAAGGTAAAATGAGGGATGAAAGTTTGTATGAAACTTTGTCAATTTTAAACTGATTGGGCTGACTTTGCATGCATAAAGCTACAATGACGTAAGCATCCCCTAAGAAAGGATTTTGATAAATTCCACCATTCCAAGGGGATAAATTAACGTGAGCGAAGTCGTGGGCAAAAGCTAGTTGTTAATATAGCTAATAAATAAACCGAAAACGCAAAAATTGCATCATTCCATCTATCATCCATATTAAAAAAACTTGTGTTATGGATACTAGACAACTGATAAAAATACCTAAATACATTTTTTAGTAAATACATATATAATACACATAGAAGACACCCAGACTGACAAACAATTGTACTCTAGAATACATATTTGACCCGTGTGAGGCATCAAACCCGCGACCATCGGAAGTAAGGCGATATGCTAAATCACTATACTACTGAGGCCATCATGTATAAGTATAAACAGTGCCATATAACACGTTATCATGAGATACCCGATGTACACCTCATGCGTAGCGTCGTAGTAGCATCTCTGAGTATATTAGAAAATCTGTCTGACCAATGGTACAAGACTAACGTGTACAGGACTAATCTTCTCGTTCTGAGGAACTTAAATACCATCCTGATCATCTGGATGAATAGCGATCCTCCACACTGCGGTTTTCTAGAAACTTTTTGCCACGCACAACCACATTGTGGAATCACCTTCCAGCAATGGTATTTCCGAACCGATACGATATTGAAACCTTCAAGAAAAGAGCTTATTTAAAAGGCCGACAAGGTGCTTGCAATTTCCCTGGTGTTACCTCTCATGGGCGGCGGTAATCACATACCATCGGGTGAGCTGCATGCTCGTTTGTCCCCAGTGTCATAATTTTTTTTTTATTAAAATAATGTTAAAGAATGTCGCGGCAATTATCCGTTTTTACACACACCCTCTTACACGCGCGTATGGCTGTCACGCAGGAAAGTATATGTACACAAAGAGAACCTAAAACCACGTGCGCCGCAAGCTCGCTCATTGCCTCGTTCTTAAATCATGCTTTAGCGCCTTTTTATAATAATTTATATATCACTAGCTGTGCCGGCAACTTCGTCCGCGTGGAATAGACATGAGGAACTTCCATTTTATTTTACACCCTTAAGGGTAAAATTTATACGAATTTAGAATGTAATATTTATTTACATTTAGTTAACGCCTAAAAAATATGTTTCAGGCTTCTAGCTTCAAAAATGATGATACTTCTATACAACCTTGTATCTCCCCTTTCAACCCCTTAGGACCCTTGTTTCGCCTTAAAAAGTCAGTTGTCCTTGCTCAGGGTCTAGACTATCTGCATACTAAATTTCATTTAGACGGTTCAGTGATTTTGACCTGAAAGCGAGACAGACAGACAGAGTTACTTTCGCATTTATAATATTAGTAAAGATTGCAAAATGGCGGATATCTGATAAAACGCGCGCGATTTCGCGTACTGGCTTTTCCCCGTGAAATCGCGCGCGCTCCTGATCGCACATTATTGAACATATTGTGTAAATTCATCAGTTGTTTCGACTTCATCCGGAGTTGTTTCGTCTGAGATTTTCTCGAGACATTACATCATGGGGTTTTTCAAGAAAGATATATTAAGGTTTCCTAAGAAACGTTACATCTCTGGTATTTCAGACGTTCATAGGATAGGGAAACCCAGACCAGATGGGTCGTACGCTTCATTCACACCATTGGAGTATAAAAAAAGTTATATTTGGATATATTGAACCGGTCGACTTGGTCACGTGGCCAACACCGAGAAGCTCGGCTAACGTCTGCCAGTTATAGTCAACTTCTGCCAGCAGCACAGAATATCGTACAATTTCACCGTGTTCCCAAACTACATCGGCCATTTTGGACAGAGGGACGCTCAACAAGTAAGTGCCTGTATATTAATTTAAATAGATGCCGTCATGGTTTAGTGGTTCACAACTCCACATTAGACTCTAACGGCCTTATTACAAAAAGATAAACCTGGTTTAGCACTAGTAATAAACCATTCACCAATGTATTCCTTATTACAAAATGAAGTTTATCTCTAAATCGTGATTCGTCTATGGTCTAAAGTTAGACCTGCGATGCCCCTAGTTTAACAGTGGTCTAAATGCAAAAATACAAACTCCATTTTAAAAATTCTATTGTAAGTTGTAGTTTTTGGAAAAATAGTTTAACCAAATTTTACGACAATAAAAATATATAAAAGACGTTATTTGCTCATTTGACTTTGAAATAGTCACCATTCGAACGATCCAATAAAAATATCTCGCCGTTCCTTTTCTCCGTATAGGACTCCTACTTGTAATTTAAAACTGATTTTCAGCCTAATAGTACATTAATAAATATTATATATTAATGAAATAGTTATAATGAAGACATAGCTAAATAGAAATAAATTTATTTTTAGTTTAAACATTTTTCTTTGAACTAATATTATTTTTGATCTTTTCAGTTCCCGGTGACAACATGAGTAACTGATTTCTGTATGGAATACATAATGAACGATTTAACTGGACAGAGTCCTCTGTTAGATCTGGATTCGTAATAATGTTAGGTTTATTCCAAGTATTAACTTTAGGAATGGTTTAAACCACGACCATTTGACCACGTTTATATTTAACAGATTTTTTGTAATAAGACCGTAAAGGTTCGAAGAGAGATTTAGGCGACATGAAAAAGAAACAAGAAAATGCTGTGAGTCAACTTCTATTTCTGAACTAGTGAAAACCCCATCAAAATACCTATAGTGATTTTTACGAGATGCTCGTCTGACAAAACAGACAGACAATAATTAGAAAACAATATTTTGGGATCTGTGTCGATAGATTAATGATATTATATCGTTATTCTCTAATAGATATCTTTGATAAATATTTAATCCATAGATAAAAAGCTTTCGGAACTTTTTTTAATGTAATTGAAACTGCAAACATGGTGACTATCCACCTCATGGTTAGTGACGACCATCGTCAAAATAATCCACCTAAAAGTTAGTCGTAACCGTCCTCTAAATAAATGAACAGCTCTACAAATAGCATATTATCATATGATGCCCGGGACCGGACATTCCGGAGAACTAATATCATTCTTCTGATCTTATAATTTATATGCTTTTTACAATCTGAAAACACCTACAAAGTAAATTGCTTTGCTGCTGAAACAGGTGAGACTGAAAAATTCGCGCAGACGAAAATTCACAATGTCTATCTCGGCCGATATCATTATAGTAATTACAACTCCCATGTAGGTAATAGAAAGCAATTTTTTAAAATAAAAAGTTAATACCGTGTACATTGTTGTTTGTTTGTAGAATATGAATTGTTAATAAGGGGTTAGTAGCTTTTACAGGGAATAAACTGTACATCCCTAAAGCCGAATGTCGATCGGCGTTGCTAAGAGATCAGAACTCCAATTAATTTGTGTGTTCAGAACGGCTCGTTAATCCAACTATAGAGTGCCGAGTCACGTACCAACCTACTGATGTAATATGATTATTTCAAACTCCAGCAGTTGAGTGATAACGAACAGTACCTACATATACTCAGCTTGGCAGTGCTCAATTTTTTTTATTTATGGCTCTAAGTTTTGGCCGATCCATCCTCTCTGTTTGATACGGGCGACGAGATGTCCAAACTCTATCTGTTACTTTTGTAAGTAAAATTCTAAGAACAAGGAGGTGAAAAAATCTACCGAACCGCTGAAAACTAGTGATAGATTGATCGTCCTCTGAACGAATATGAAGTAAATAATGTAACCGTCGCTTTGGATCCAAAATGTTGAAAGATCGAATCTGACCAAAGAAAGATATTTTGAAATAAGAATACCTTATTAAAAAAGGAGAAGAAAAAAATTGCGCAATAGCGTTAAGTGAATTGCCCTTGTAATGTTAGATTCAAACACCTAGCGAAATATGGGCAACTCAAGGAGAAATCACCACGACGTTCACACTTGACAATGCTACTACTAGTGACTAGCCTAGTTGAGGTGGTGGTGAACCTTACACGATATGGTGATCTTATGCTTTTTTAGACTAAAAAGGTGTAAAGTAAATTGATTTAGTAATCCACTAGATTATTACCAAATGCTGAATTTCACCATCGAACTACCCGCCAAAATCTAAACCAACAATCACTCCAACCATTTATATTAATGGCGTCCTCCATTGTGCGTTGTTTAAGAAACTTTTGCCACCTATACACATTGTAGAGTCATCTTCGCAATCGTATTGGCGAAACGATACCATATTGAAATCTTCAAAATCTTCAGGGTAAGCGCGCTACATCCAAGGTCTTGCCATCATTTACCATCAGATGAGGTAAGACCAAGCGTAATCCCTTTCTTAATAAAAAGAACAGCTTCTTCCTATTCAAAAGTGTCGAAAATCTTCAGGGTAAGCGCGCTACATCCTAGGTCTTGCCATCATTTACCATCAGATGAGGTAAGACCAAGCGCAATCCCATTATTAATAAAAGAACAGCTTTTTCCTATTCAAAAGTGTCGCAAAACTTCAGGGTAAGCGCGCTACATCCTAGGTCTTGCCATCATTTACCATCAGATGAGGTAAGACCAAGCGCAATCCCTTTCTTAATAAAAAGAACAGCTTCTTCCTACTCAAAAGTGTCGGCAACGTACTTATTTCCCAGCTGTTGCAGATGCTCATGGGTGGCGGTAATCACTTACCATAAGGTGAGGAGCCGCAAGCTCGTTCGTCTCCTATGTTTTAAGAAAAGACCTTGAAGCACTCAAAAATAAAGGCGTAAATAAATTATTAATTTTATTCCATTAACGAATTTATACCAAAGAATTTATGGGAGCGTATTATTTAGTTCACTAATGATATTTTAACGATTCCCTCAGTTCGATCAATTAACCTCTGATCTCGAACGGCAGCTTAAACCGTAACTTGATATCATTATAGGTTTAATGTTCAAATTGAGTTAATAAATTTATTTGAAAATCGGCTATAATTATAACTGCACAAGTTCGTCATACTCGTGACCTGGTGCTTCTTGTGGGGACTGGTCTGTTCGGATTACGAACATTGATTAGACTATTTGCTTTTGCAAACGCATATGCTGGTGGTCACACTATTCTCCCAAATTTGAGTTTAAAAATGAATCTGTATTATTGTAAACATGTACAAAATTTATTTGAAAAGCAGACCGTATTCGAGCTGAGTTTCTTGTCAGTTCTTCTCATCTCGAAATCATTCTGAACTGACGGTAGATTTGACATATCATAAGAGTCTGTAATTGACCTACATGAATAAAGATATTTTGAATTTTTTTTTTGAACAAGTAATGTAACATAAAATTATAAAACTTTATTGAAAATCAAACTAAAGGAGTCCACTGTATGGAGCGTCTTGGATTACTTCCTAGATGGCTTCATGTGAATGGGAATTATGACCGATTTTAGTATTATGCATAACCCATGGTGGTCTAGCGGTTTAGCAGAGCACTCTACTTCCGATGGTTGCGGGTTCGATTTCTAGCACGGTAAAAATATTTATACTCATGACTATGATTATTTGTATTCGTCTGGGTGATTTCTATGTATACTATGTACGAGTATGTATTTACAAAAATGTATCTAAGTGTATCTAGCATTATCTAGTACCCATAAGACAAGCTCAGCTTTAGGCTAGACGGTGCAGTGTGAATAGTCCATGGCTATTATTATTAGATTCAGATTCGAAACCTCGTCGTTACGATTGGCGCATTTCCGTAGTGAAGCGTAGCAACCATTGTGCCAATCGAACGACTTCATCAGCACGGCCCGTCCGGTCTGAAACCTGACGATTTGAGCATACTCTTACTTCTTATTCACTTGATACGTTGTATGCATGATATACATACAAAGCAGGAATAACATGACAATGAGAGTGGCGTAGCTGGAGTCGAGTCACAACGAGAATTTCGAGGCGTTTGTGGCCTGAGTTTCCACCAACTTTACCACTTTCATAAAGGAGGACTACTGGGGTAGTGTACCTAGGATGCCGTGATAGATTGCCGAGATCATAGAGACAATTTCTATTTATATTATTACGAGCTGTACAACTTCATCTGCAATAACACACATGAAAAAGATTGTTATTACCGAACAAAAAGTAAGAGACTAATGTCAAAGACAATACTTCAATCTAATCTAACAAGTCTTATTTTTTATTTTTTTTGAACTACACTTTTAAACACATGCATATTTATTACTTTAATTTTTTTTATTATATAATAGGTATATATAATTATGGACAATTCACAAAGAGTTATCTTGCCGAGGTAAGCAAATATTAAATATTCCACACGTACAATCTTTTTCAAGTTACAGCCTATGTGTTATTCTGATGTATAAGGAATATTACTGTAAAGTTCCATCAAAATCAGTTTAGTAGGTTTTTCGTGAAAGAGGAACAAACATTCATCCATACTCACAAACTTTCGCATTTATAATATTTATGTTATTATTTTACATGAAAGTTATTTTTAACGTAGTCTATAAGGTACAAAATTAAAAAAAAGAAGTAAAAAAAACCTGTATTACAAGTGTAATCTTTAGAATGGTAAGTACCGTATAGATGAAGTTAAATATGCATTAACAATCAAAAGCCTGGAAATTACTATCCGGAGATGTATCCCGGAACACTTTAGTTTATATATAATACTTTGGGTCACTACCCAGCTGACTATATTCCACCTTAAAGTTAATTGACGGCCTACTTTTCGCGGTAGGCAGATAGAGAGATTACTTAAAGAAGAAAGGAAAGGAAAGATAAAAAAGGTATTTATAATATGGGCCATTAGTATCCTGAATTAAATAAATAAAATATATATATATATATATAACTCAAAGGTCACTGACATAGTGATCTATCAACGCACAG